CGTAAGCAAATTTATTTTTAAAATTCTAGTCTGACTGCAAACTATTTTTTATTAGTGACTAGATTTCTCAAAGAGTCTTAATAAACAGGAGACGCCATAGCATATAAGACGGTTTAAAATTAAACATAAACGTAAATAAAAACAAATATATTAAATATATATATATGATTGAATATATATATGATTATATATATATATATATGATTATATATATATATATATATATATATATATATATATATATATATATATATATATATATATATATATATATATATATATATGTAATTCTTTATGTAGCTTTATATTCATTATAGCATAATGAAACTGAACCATAATATTGAAACAAGTTAAACTTTTCAATCTTTTGACTTTGTTTTAATAAAGTTTTCAGTTAATATTTAAGTTTCGTGAAATGTTTTGGGTTAACCAAGATGGCGGCCGTTTTTAAAACTGGATTTAATAGAGTCACGTGACACCGTCGATGTTTATTAAAGCTCTTTGGTATTTCTATTCAACTATAACGAAAACAAGGTTTAACGATACCTTATAAAGTGAAGCAAACTTTGACAGTAATCAAACGGATACTTTTTTGTTTATACAGCAGAGCGTTTTTTTTGTTTTTTTTTTTCTAGTTTTAGCAATTTTCACAGATTGGTTGTTCATTTTTTAATTTAAGGTGATGTAAATATTTATATAGAGTTTATTAAAAGATCATACACTAATGAGTGAGTTGGTCTATAATATTTATATTCTTTGAATATATTTTAATATTTATTTATTTAAAGATATGTTAAAATATAAATAGTTGTTATTAATGAAGCAGGAATATTTAGTTCTATAGCAATTTCAGATATAATAAACAAGTACTGTTGCTGGAGTTTCGTCACTCTTGCTAGGATTGCTTTCGTCACTCATGCTAGGATTGCTTTCGTCACTCTTGCTAGGATTGCTTTCGTCACTCTTGCTAGGATAAAGAATGTTGTTACTCCTCTCCTGTTTTTAATTTGTATATAAGATATTTTTTTCATTAAATTTTTATTGTGCATCATTAAATCTCATCTTAGTTCGCTGATTATATTTATTTATTCTTACTAACAATGTGGGTTGAACATATTGAACTGAAGTAAATGGTTCTAGTTATTCTTTATTATATATTGTTCAATATTATATATTATATATTGTTCAATATTATATACACAAAGCAAATGGTTCTTATTTAAAAATAAAGGAACATTTTCATAAAAATCACAAGAAAAAAACCTTACTCTCAAATTACCTTATCTTCAATGGTAAAATAATGAACAAACAAGTCAGTATAAAATTATTAAAAAAATTTGTTGAGAAAATGTATCCTCACTTCCCAAAACAAAGTTATCACAGTCAAAATTATAAGTATGATGTATAAAATTTGTTCATACATCAATTTGTTGTTAAGTAATCTTTTTTTAGGTCCGCTTGATTGACTTATTATGTTTTTAAATATTTCTGAACACAATCATAAAAACTTATGAGTTAATCGTTTAATATTTATGAATATCAATTTTTATGTATCGATATTAACGATCAGTAAATATTCGTTAAAATTCGGATTACAAAGTTTACTAAAAGGCGAAGTTGACTTCGACTTAAGTACCGAATTGAAATTCGGCCTTCCGTTGAATTCGGTAACAGTTAATATATTTAATTTAATTTTCAGTTAAATTCGAGTATTGTTAACTTTTATCAATTATAAAACAATGACAATTATAAATTATAGGTGTTGAAATTTTTTTTTTTAGTTTTTATTTAATATATTTCAATAATACAGTTTATTTTTATCTTTATAACTTGTTTGTGGTGAATATTGATTCTTTTGATCTCTAAAAGTTGTGGCATTTATAAAATGTTTACCACCTCTGAAATTTGTTGCATTTATAAAATGTTTACTTTCTTAAATTGTCTTATCGGTAAATAAAAATTGTCTTATCGGTAATTGTTTATTTCAGTAAAATTTCATTTAACTAACTTTCGATTGCTTTTTTCGAGTATTGTGTGTAATTTATTTCGAGTTTTTATATCCGGTTATAAATTTGATCTTCAGTTTTTTAAGAAATAATTTTTTCTTCTTCTTTTAAATCGTCTCCTTTTAAATCATCTCTATGTTCGTTCTTCAGTTTTAATAAATTAACACTTCTCTTAAATCGTTTCAAATTCTTGACAATCGATAAAGACGTAGATACTGAAAAATTGCTGTTTAGACCAATGTATAAATATAAATACAAACACTTACACATACATATATATACACACATGCATACATACATACATTTTATATATATAAATTTTCCTTTTTTTTAATATAAAGTTTTACATTTACGAATGTTGGAGTTTTTATACTTTTAGTAAATTATAATAGAGAATATAATCACCGTATCAATTATAATAAAAATAACAAAAAAAGAAAAAGAACGTGTAAAAACAAAAGAACGTGTTTACATATATATATACGTACCGCAAAAATAACAATGTTGGCTTAAGTGACCTAGCATGTAGAAAAAGATTCAGGATTCAAAAAACTTGGTATATTATGATTGCTAATATGTCAGTTTATAAATTAAAACAGTTTTAGTGGTTGTTTTATTTGTTAAATACTTTAGTATTTGCACTTGAGTGAAAATTTCAATTTTAAATGTGTAGTTTTTTTTGGAGCCTAGAAGCCGTATCAGAGAATAAGTAAGTTAAATATAGTTTTTCTATTACCTATGAATTATAACTAGATACTGAAAAAAGTTTTTTTTTTCTCAAGTAGTTATAAATCTTTACAACACCCTCATAAAGAAAGGAAGTATTATTGTTGTTTTTGGGGTAAATTTTATAGAACTTACTTTATAGACCATGTTTAGAAATAAAAAACAGCAACAATAAATTAACATTTTATTAGATTTTTTTTTAAAGAAAATAATATATATTTATCTTAAAAACAATATTTGAACACAGTAATAACACAGACATCTAAAATGGCTGCAGACTTTATAACATTATTATAACAATAGGCTACTACAACAATGTTAAAATAACATAGATAAATTAAATAGTACTTTAACTGATTACTTTAATTCAAAAAAAGATTATTGATTGTCATTGCATTCATTATAATGGTATATCAGTCCATACACCCTCATCTACTTTTTCAGCATTTTTCATAATACCGGCTGCCTGAAGTTCCATTGCAAAATCATTCAAATAATAACAAGCCATTTCTTGGGTACAGTTAAGTGTTCTGTCTATTGATACCTGACCCTGGATTTTAACTTTAAGCTTAAATGCTTTGCATGGAATCGTGTTCAAAATGAACGACTAAGTCTGAAACAATAAAAAATGGTCTGAAATATTCTATAGAAATAACCCTAAACATTTGACTTGCGCTTACAATTGATTAACATTCACTACTATATATATATATATATATATATATATATATATATATATATATATATATATATATATATATATATATATATATATATATATATATATATATATATATATATATATATATATATATATATATATATATATATATATATATATATATATATATATATATATATATATATATATATATATATATATATATATATATATATATATATATATATATATGTATATATATATATATATATATATATATATATATATATATAAGAAGCAAGGTTACAAATATTACTAGTGAGTAATTTTGATTATGTAAATTTCATTTTTTCTTTAGATCAAACATGAGCAAAAAATCATAAGACTTCCTTCCCATTAACCAGAGCTTATTTTGCATTAGGAGACAACTTAACCAACTTCCGACCACCTTTGCATCTTTTATTCATGCAGTCCCTTATCATTAAATATCAAGATGGAGTTTGGTCAATTCTGCCTTGTTAATACCTTGTAGACTTCTATTCCTTTTCTTGACATACTTCAATACAGCTTCGTCTTTTTCAAGTGTAAAAATACTACAGTAGCGACTCTATTTGATCTCTCTAAAGCCTCAAGTTTAATGACGGTCATGTTTGCCGAAGATACAAATCTTTTTTTTATCTCATAACAACATAACAACATTATTCTAAAATATGAACATTGAATTAACAAAAGTTTCTGACTGGTTTAAAATGGATAAGCTGTCACTAAATGTTGAGAAAACTATGTATACTTTTTCATCAAACTTCAAAAAAAAGCTACTACCTCCTGTCATGCCATTACTTTTTATTGACAAAGTTTAAATAAAAAGAGAACAAACTACTAACTTTTAAGGAATAAATATTGATAAAAACCTTGGAAGTATCACATTGATTTGTTGTGCAACAAAGTTGCTCGAAATATAGGAATAATGTACAAAGCTAGAAATCCTTTAAATAAATACAGTTTAACACAATTATATTTCTCTTTAATGCATTGCCATATAAATTATGCAAATATTGCTTGGGATAATAATAAACCAATAAATCTAAACTGCTACCTCTTTATCGTTAGCAGAAGCATGTTGCTCGTCTTATCAATTATAAAGATCGATTTGCTCGTGCCAAACCATTATTATTTCCAATGAAAATTCTTAAAATTTATCAGCTAAATATTTTTAATATACTTTGTTTTATGTTCAAGTGTAAAACGAACGAATCTCCAGTTTCTTTTTATAATCTATATACCTTAAAAGATAAAAATAGATATAACTTAAGAAATGATAATCTGATTCGGCAACCTTTTTCTTTAACTAATTTTGGAAAGTCATGTATTTCATATCGAGGAACTTTTCTTTGATTTTAAAAAATTTTGATTTTTTCCACGAATGGAATTATCTTTCATTCAAGAAAAAACTAAAAGAAATTGTTTTATTTTTTGAAGACATGTTTTTATATTTTTAAATTCTTCTAAAAATGAATATGAAGTTTATTACATAAGGTAATACATAAATATTTTATCTGATCCACAACTTATGTGTTTATGAAAACAGTACTTTTTAAAATGTTTTT